TTACTGAAAACAGATTTTGAACCAGAAAAATATATTTCTTGTGTTAAGAATGAAAATCATAGAATTAGTTTGACCAGATTTAGATGCTCTGCACATAACTTACTTATAGAAGAAGGAAGACATAGAAATATAGAAAGAAACCTTAGAATTTGTAACAAATGTACATCACTTGTCAGTTGTTTATATTATTATTTCTTTTTCCTTTTTCTTTTTTGTAACTATTCTCATCTTTTGTCGATAAATAAAAAGAACGGTAATATAAAACGAAATTATACCCTTAGAGAGTGTCTAAATTACGTGACTCTCCACGGTTTTTTGTGGTAACATATTTACTAAGAACTTTAACAATTTGTGGTTTTGATACATTGTTAAATGAACGTACTGCAGTTCAGCAAATGATATGAATAAATACTCTTTTTACGAATTATTTTACCACTCAAATTATATATACATTGTACATTTGTTTAAAGAGCCTCTACTAACATTGTATTTATTACTAACCACATTTATTCATGTTAACATGAAATGTGTGTAATAAAGGAAATTTGACTTGACTTGACTTGACTTGTAATATGAATGCCATTGAGAATGAATATCACTTGCCAACTTATTATTGTCATTGGCCTAATTTATTCAAGTGTAAAAATCTTCTTAACTTATTAAGCTAGCTAAATATATATACCAATCATTTTCTTTAAGAGGATGACTATTAATAATTTATGTATTGTGTAACCTGTGTTATAGTGTTTTTTTTATGTTCAAAGTATATAATTGTTATTATCATGCTTTTCTCATGTTCAAAATATGTATTGTTTTGCCTTGTGCCGCCAGAATACTATATGTATTGGCGATAAACATTGTATATATGTTAAAGCCAAATAAACATTGAATTGAAATTGAATTGATGTAACGTATGACACGTGCACATGACTGTCGGCAGCAATCAATGCGCTAATAGTATTATACGATGATTGGATTATTGGATTTTCGCACTTATCGTAATCGACACACACTTATTAAAGCCCATCATCAAAGGTGTTTATTCGCGATTAATCAGTCACCAATAATAATAATAATAATAATAATAATAATAAATGTTATTTTCGTAGACTCGACCTTACACGGCAATTTCAGCTATTTACGTACGATGGTATTTTTAGCTCAAACTTCACTTTTTAATAAAAAATTTTTTTTGGTTCTGAAATTTTAATGTACTGTAAAATCATTCAAAGAATGCACAAATATATAATTAACATAATTATTTAAACATAACATAACATAACATAATCTTTATTTCTCTCAATACATGTATACATGCAAATTTGAGGAATTTACAATAAATGTTAAATTAAGAACTAATGTAATATAAATAACATAAGTATTTTCAGTGAATAGTTAAGTTCTTATCTTTTGAATAATACATTTAACACATTTACACAATTTGAGAAATTCAGATTTGTTTTTAGTACACATAATATTTTCTAATTTAAAAATGTTTGGTCGTTGATAATATACTTTTTTCAAAAATCGTTTTCTTTCTTCGTTAAATTGACAACATTCAAGTAAATAATGAAATTCGTCACCAATTTTATTTTGACAATTAGGACAAAATCTTTGGTTAATTGGAGTACTGGACCAATTACTCGTTTCTATTGGAAATCGATGATTTCTTGTACGAAATTTAATAAAATAGTACAGTAATGAACTATCTAAATTAACCAAGTACGATTCAAATCCAAATGTTCTTTTAATTACTCTATAAAACATACTGTTACTCGAATTTTCAATTTTAGAATACCACTCATTTAAAAAAAGATCTTTTAACTTTTGTTGAACAGAAAGTTTGAGCCACTCAGAGTTTGTAAATGTGTTGTCGAACCACATTTGTGATAGATCACATTTGATTAAAATAGTTTTGACATTAAAAAACCATGGAAATTTCTTTTTAAGCAAATTATCACTTAAACCAGCTGTTGAGTGTAGTAAACTATTATAGACAAGAATTGACAATTTATTATTGACGTTAACACCGTCGTTTTTACATAATTTTGACCAGAATGATATTATCCTTTCTTCGATGTCAATAGCTAGAGGCATACAACCGGTTTCTCCATAAACAAAATAATTTGCTGTTGACTTCTTTAATTTAAGAATAATTTTTAAAAATGTCGAGATTACCAAATCCCCAAATTTCTACACCGTACAGTAAAATCGGCTTAATTGTTTTGTTAAATAATTCAATTTGTAAATCTATTGGAAGATTGAGACGATTAGAATTTTTTACTAAACTATACATGGCTCTTGTAGCTTGGCTTGCGATATGTTTTTTACATTTTAGAAAAGAACCTGTTTTACTAAAATAAATTCCAAGATATTTGTACTCATTTACTACCACGATAGGTTCGTTTTTGAAAGTAAAATTATACATGTGTTGTCTACCTTTAGAAAAAAACTACGATCTTTGTCTTTGACGTATTAACCTTAAGTTTCCAAGCATCACAGTATTGTTCATATATATTTAATGCTTTTTGTAAATCATCTGCTGTTCTGATATTATTACCGTATCGTCAGCATAGAGTAATATAAATAATTTTAAAAGACAGAAAAGCTCATTTGTATCACTTCCATTTACCAATGTTATTCCATGTACGTTACTATCATTTAAAAAATACGATTCTAGATCGTTTAAAAATAGTGAAAATAGCAATGGCGATAAATTTTCTCCTTGTCGTACACCTATATTACAAGGAAAGAAATTAGAAAAAACAAGAATTTACCTTAACACATGACTTAATGTTACTGTACAAATTTTTAATGACCTGAAAACATTTTCCATTAATATTTAAGTTTATCAGTTTTTCCCATAAACCATTTCTCCAAACTGTGTCAAATGCTTGTTTAAGATCAATAAAGGAGCAAAAAAGCTTTTTTCCATTGTTATTAAGATAATGAATAATGTGTTGCAAAACAAATAAATGATCTGAAGTAGAAAATCCTTTCCTAAAACCTGCATGTACATTGTTAATTATTTCATTAGATTCAACATAATCAGTTATTCTTTTATTTAAAATACATGTAAAAACTTTACCTAAACAACTTAACAAAAAAACTTTACCTAAACAACTTAACAAAGTTATAGGCCTATAATTTCCAGGGTCAGATTTGTCCCCTTTGTTTTTATATATTGGGTTGATTATACCAATAGTCCATGATTCAGGAATTATACCGGTATTTAATATTTGGTTAAAAAGTTTAACATATATTGTTTTCATTAATGGAAATGTTGCTTTAAGGTGTTCATTTACTACATTGTCATATCCACTGGCTTTATTATTTTTAAAGGTTTTGATTGCATACTCAATTTCATTGTCTGTGATTGGAACATTAATCTGTTCGTTACTTTCATTTACTTCATTAGAATTTGGTCTATCTATAATGTCATCACTTTCATCATTTTTGAAATTTACACTTTTAAAGAAATTATAAAGGTCAGTTAGGTCAGCCTCGCAATTTTGTTTTTTTTTTTGTTTAGAATTTTCCAATAGTTTCGTGGGTCTTTACCTTTAAGATTTTGCAATTTACTTATACTTTCTTTTTTCTCATTTTTATAAAATTGTTTTAACGTGCCTTTATATATTTTTGCGTTTTGTTTCAAGTTTTCCTTTGTGGTTTCGTTTTTTTCTTAATTTATAAAGATGCTTTGCAGTGTGAAAATTTTTTCTAGCCTTTTTGCATTTTGGTCCAAACCAAGGTTTGGAATTATTAGTTATTTTTTTGTTATTAATATCTTTTATTTTTGTATGTCCAAAAATTTCACGGGACGTATTTGAAAATAATGACGATATGGTTTCAGTTATTATGTCAGCATTTTCTTGAGTGAAATTATTATTGACTTCAAAGTTATCTAATGCTTCATTAATGTTTTGTATTTCATTAACATCTATCTTATTTAAAAACTCATTTGTTTTAGTGCTATCCCAAAGTTTTATGGTAGGTTTCTCCATTTGTACACATCATTTGCTCAATTTAAAGCTTAATTTAAGTTCCACAGGGTTATGTACGTCTGACATTAAGGGGCAAAAGTCTAACACATTAAGAGACACAATTTGCTTAAAATAGTTTGAATTACAGATAAAATAATCAACAGTACTTGTGCCTTTACACGTTGTTTTCCCCGGAATATCCATATTTGTTCTACCGTTTAAAATGTATAGACAATTAAGTTTTAAAAAATCGAGTAATTGGGATCCATAGTTGTTAGACGTTTTGTCACTATTTATACGGGTCCGTTTAACATTAACTGCCGAGTCGAACATACTCATCTCAATATTATATTCTGAACAAAGCTCTTCTAAATTTTGACTTTCAAAAAAATCTGTGTCAAGTATAATATAATCATCTAAAGATTTAGTTCTGCTATTGAAATCTCCAAATAGGCAAAATGAGTCATATTTATCAATAAAATTACTGTAATCGTTCTGTATCTCTAAAAAGGGGTCCTCAACGGAATATTCTGAATATTCGGGTGGTATATAAATAACACCACACAATAGATCATTATCAGTTTTACATATTGATTTTGACACAGTAAACCATAACACCAATTTACAATCTGTTTCTATGATCTTAACGTATTTTGAAATATCTTTTCTGACAAATAATGCTAAACCCCCTGATTTACGACGAGTTCTGATATCATGTCTATTTTTCATAAATACATCATGTATTTTATCTCTAAATGTCTGTGGTTTAAAATCGAAACTAGGCTGCCCTGAATTTACAAAGTTATTACAGCAATATTGTATTATTGGTTTACAAGAAACTAAATGTGATAACTTAGACTTTATAGATTTACCTGGTTACAGATAAATGCACTATTTCAAAAATAAATCTTGTTTTCGTAGCCGCGATCTTATTTTCGCGAAAATAGCTTATTCTCGGCTATTATTATCCTAAGACTGACGGAAAGGGCCGAGTAGTTGCGATTGGGTCCGAGGCAGGGGGATACTAATCGACGGTCAAATACCGTCGATTTTGCGGAGACCGTCGATTAGTATCTTTGCCCCTCCGAGGCAGTTCCGAATGGGTCGGAAGTTTGACGGAAAGGGGCCGAGAAGTTGCGATTTTTGTATGAACTGATGTAAAATCCACGCTTATTGAAGGTTTTAAAGTATTTCAGTAATTATGGTAAAGGAGCAGTTCAGGGAAGCTGACGTTGCTAAGAAAATGCAAGTTACAGTTTTTAGATTCGCATTTTATTTCAGGGCCGGTGTAGCAATGGTAAATTATAATTTGTAATAACGATTCGCCACAGCAACGATTCGCCACTAACGATTCGCCACTGAGTAATAACCGATTCGCCACGTGTTAAAATACAAACTTTTTCACACCTATTTTCAATTATTGATAAAAATGATGAACTTACATAAATATGATATTTTATTTCTTTTTCTCACATATCAAACATATGTATTGTAAGAGCTCTTTTAGTTTACATGAAGATGTATATTTAAATGCAGATGAAAAAAATTCATATCATAACTGAAGCATCGAAAGGAATAAACTCAGTAATGTGTAATTTTGCACAAGACAATATAAATAAATATTTGCATGTACATAATGTTAAAAATGTAACAAATTTCGGTACTTTTTACAGAATTATTATAAGTTATCTGTGACATATAACCTGTCAGGAATATTTATAACGAATTTATAAAGCTTCGAACTTCCTTTTTTTTAAGAGTAAAAGTAAGATTTCCAGCTCTTAAAAATATATGGAAATTTATCATGTTTCGTGAAAATATTCTATATTTCACTCAAACAGAAAACATCTTAATATATTTCTTTAAAACTAAACCCATCACCCCTATTTATTACAGAGTAATTCAATAAAACTTCATCAATCATTCAGGTCAACCATAATGTAAGGAAATGCAACATACAAAAACCACAACTATCTTTTATTGCCCATAACCAGAACTCTTTTTCAATTCTTTTACAAGGTGTTCTGTTACTTGTAACTTCCTCATTTCCGAAGCAGTCTTGCGGGGGTATTAATCACATTTAGTGATAGTTCTAGTTTAAACTGATGTAAATTGATAGAATTTGGATAATTATTATGAATTAAAGAACTTTTCTTCTTAATTATTTGCATTTAAAAGTTAGAAGTCCTCAAATATAAAAAATTGTTGCATTGATGTAAATCAAATGCTTAAATAAACTTTATTGAGAACCAGTACTTCATGAATTATATATCATCATAGCGATATTCAAATACACATTTGTTTAATTTCCGTGCAATATACATGTACATTTTATATGAATGTACACATATAAAGGCGTACATGTACATGTATATTTTGTAAAATAAAATCAGAAAAAAATCCAATGTTATAACTCAATTTGATGATCACTTCTCCCTAAATTTCAAAATGTATCCCTATTTTTCCTTAAGGGAGAAGATACTTCTCCTTAAATTTTCTGTCCATTGTAGTCCCCGATTTTCCCCTAAAAAAGCCAATATTTTCCCCTGGAATGCCCTGTGCACTTCACCACCAGAAACATGACTCCTCATGTACAGACATAATCAAACCGAGTCTGCAATTTTCTTGTAATTTTGTTGTGATTAATGCACTTTGTTTCCAGATTTTTATACTTCACAACAGCAGGTATCAAGTGCTGTGTGGCAGCTGTAAAAAGTTGCCCTGTACTTCACTTTAGTGTTATTATATTTTTCTGGTCCTTCGGGATCATTGATGCCAGCACCATCAAGTGTTGAGAATTGAGTACCACTCAAGCTGGCGTGAGGGATGTGACACATATTTATTATCCCTCATGTATAGACTCAATTATCAAACCGAGTCTGCAATTCTCTTGTAATTTTGTTGTGATTAATGCTTCAGAGGGATCACTTTGTTTCCAATTTTTGTGCCCCCACTTTAGTTGCTGGCATTTAGATTTACCCTTGTCCGTCCTTCCGTCCGTCTGTCCGAGCAAACATTTTGGGTTTAGGGGCTATATAACAGTAAAGAGAACAAAAGAGAACAATAGGTTCATTCCGTGATCAAAGGGTTTAGGGGCTAGTAGCCCTTAAGAAAACAAAGAAAATAACAAAGAAAATAGCCCCTAAAGCCAAAATGGGACATCCATCCGTCCGTTCTCTTTTGTGTCACACGTAACTCAAAAAGTATTTGACCTAGAGTCATGAAACTTTACAGGAATGTTGATCAGCATGTGTAGTTGTGCACCTGGGTATTTTCGTCTGGATATTTTTAGTATTTTTAGAGTTATTGCCCTTGACTTAGTAAAATTTTGCAATTTTCAACTTGTATTGCATGTAACTCAAAAAGGATTTGACATAGAGTCATGAAACTTTACAGGAATATTGATCAGCATGTGTAGTTGTGCACCTGGGTATTTTCGTCTGGATTTATTTAGTATTTTTAGAGTTATTGTCCTTGACTTAGAAAATGTTTGCAATTTTCACTTGTGTCGCATGTAACTCAAATAGGATTTGACATAGAGTCATTAAACCTTACGGGAAGGTTGCTATGCATATTTAGTTTTGCACCTGGGGTTTCGCTTGTGGATTTATCCAGTATTTGTAGAGTTATTTCCCTTGACTTAGTAAAAACTGTTTCATTATGTTGCTATTTGTTCCTTGAGTGCTTGAGTTAGAATCAACCAACTTTACAGGAATAATGATCAACATCACTAAATTACAGGAATAGTGATCAACATCACTGTGAAGCTATGCACCTGGGACTTTGCATGTGGATTTTTTTCAGTTTTGTTAGAGTTATTGCCCTTGACTTACAGTAGTATAAATTTGCAATTTTCAACTTGTTAATGCATAGCTCAAAAAGTATTTCACTTGTAGGCCTGAAAGTTTACAAGAATGTTGGTCAGCATGTGTACTTGCTTGGGGTTTGCTTGTGGATTTATTCAGTATTTGTAAAGTTCTTGCTCTTTACTGAGTAAAAGATTTTTAGTTTTCAAAAAATATTTGATCTAGAGTCATAAGATTGACAGAACAGTGGCGCGGTGGGGGCACCCGTGTCCTATGGACACATTTCTAGTTATATACTGGAATCAGCTCGTCCGTCTGTCCGTCCTGCTGTCCGTCGGTTTTTTCTTGTCCGCCCAATAACTTAAGATTCCTTTGACCCACAGTTTCATATTTGGCATGGAGGTTAGTCATTATTAGTAAATGACCCCTATTGATTTTGAGGTCACTGGGCCAAAGGTCAAGGTCACAGGGGCCTTCAGTAAAAAAGCTTGTCTATCCAATTGCTTAAGAATGTTTTGGTCAACAGTCTTCATATTTGATATTGGGGTTGTTTATGACCCCTATTGATTTTTATGCTCCCCGAAAAATTTCGGGGTAGTATATAGTCGGCGCCTTGTCCGTCCGTCCGTCTGTCCGCACTCACAGGAGAGTAATTATGTGGCTAGAGGGACAATAGGTAACTGTTCTTTCTCTTTGATGTCATTCATTCCGTAATGCTTTTATGTGGCTATTTTCTTTTGCGTGGCTAAAAAGAACAATAGAGAGAACAATAGAGTAGCCACATAATTACTCTCCTGTTAGAACGTCCGTCTGTCCGTCCGTTTTCTTGTCCGGATCATAACTTGAAAACCCTTGGAGATAATTTGTTTAAACTTCATACAGTGGTAGAGGGCATTGAGGGGGAGTGCAGTGTCAAAGAACCATAACTCTATTTTGCCCGGTTTTTGAATTATCTCCCCTTATAGAAAAATCTTGTCCGGGGCATAACTCTAAAACTATAAGAGATATCAACATGAAACTTTGTAGGTGAATAGATCTCAATGGGTAGATGTGCAGTGCATAAGAACAATTACTCTTTTTGTCCTAATTTTGGAGTTATTGCCCTTTGTTAATTTCAACACTTTGAACTTTGTCCGGAACATAACTCTAAAACTATAAGAGATATCAAGATGAAACATTGTAGGTAGATAGATCTCATTGAGTAGAAGTGCAGTGCAAAAGAACCATAACTCTGTTAAGCCTCATTTTTGAATTATCTCCCCTTATAGAAAAATCTTGTCCGGGGCATAACTCTAAAACTATAAGAGATATCAACATGAAACTTTGTAGGTGAATAGATCTCAATGGGTAGATGTGCAGTGCATAAGAACAAATAACTCTTTTTGTCCTAATTTTGGAGTTATTGCCCTTTGTTAATTTTAACACTGAACTTTGTCCGGAATATAACTCTAAAATTATAAGAGATATCAAGATGAAACATTGTAGGTAGATAGATCTCATTGAGTAGAAGTGCAGTGCAAATAAAACCATAACTCTGTTAAGCCTCATTTTTGAATTATCTCCCCTTTTAGAAAAATCTTGTACTGGACATAGCTGTAAAACTATAAGAGATATCAACATGAAACTTTGTAGGTAGATGTATCTCAATGGGTAGATGTGCAGTGCACGAGAATCATAACTCTGCCTTGCCTAATTCTGGAGTTATTGCCATTTGTTTATTTTTACTTTTTGAATTTGTCCGGAACATAACTCGGAAACCATAAGAGATATCAACAAGAAACTTTGTAAGTTGATAGATAACAGTGATTAGAAGTGCAGTGGAAAGAACAGTAACTCTGCCTTTCCTAATTTTGGAATTATTGCACTTTGAACTTTTTCCAGGGACATAACTCTAAAACTTAAAAAAGCTACTCCTGAAAGTGCAAGGCCTAGAGCTTAGATATTTTGAGTTTAACATCAGCTAATGAAACTCATTAAAAGAATTGAAATTATGGCCCTGGGGTCAAAATTGGCCTTGCCCCAGGGGGTCATTGATTTTTCTTATATGTATAAAGTAAAAATCATCTTTTATGTTTTGACAAAAGCTAGAGGTTAGATATTAGGCATGAAACATTGTGTAGTAGACCTCTACCAAGATTGTTCAAATTATAGTCCTCGGGTCAAACTTCGCCCCACCCTTTGGTGTTATTAATTTTCATTATGTACATACAGTATAAACTTAAAAAAATCTCCCCTCTAGGGAAATTATAAAATATATAAATCTTCTGCCATGAAAATAATATCTACACCTAAGATATTTGGTATGTAGCATAACACCACAATTACTTGTATGAGTAAATATCTTTCAGCTCTAGATTTTGGACATTATTATTATTAATTCTTTCTGCAGGGTCAGTTGTAGGTCAGTGAAGGAATTCTACTGAAATATGAAATTAGGCC